GCAACACAACATAGAGCTAATTTACACCTTGCAATTCATGCAGTTCTTTGCACAACACACCTGCTGGGTGTGTACACACTACAAAGGTGTTTAGATTCCACCCATAGATCATGCTGGGAGGGAACACACTACAGAGGTGTATACATGTTCGTGGTGTGTTTATAAGGTTAGTAAATCAACCCCCTGGACTCTGACTAGGCTATTCCAAGATATAGAAATGTTTCCCTTTAAACCACTCCAATGTAACTTTAGAAGTGTTTAGGGTCATTGTCCACCTAGAAGGTGAATCTTCATCCCTAGTCCCAAATTTGTGGCAGACTGAATAAGGTTTTCTTCAAGAATTGCTCTGTATTTAGTTCCATCCATTTTTCCTTTACTCCTGACCAGTTTTTTAAGTCCCTGCTGATGAAAAGCATCCCCACAGCATGTTGATGCCACCACCATGCTTCACTGTAGGGATGGTATTCTCAGGGTGATGGGAAAACTCATATGACCAGAGAACCCTCTTCTATGTGTTTAGGGAGTCTGACACATGTTGCCTGGTGAACTACAAATATGCATTCTTGTTTTTTTTCTGGTGCTCTGTGGAATGTTGAAAACTGTGTCTCTTTCCTGTTTGGAGAGTTCCTTGATCTTCATGTTGCTTGTTTAGTGGTGTTGCAGACAGGGGCCTTTCAGAACAGGTGTATTTATACTGACATGATGTGACGGATCATGTTTCACTTTGATTGCACATAGGTGAACATTTATCAACAAATTATGGGACTTCTCAAGTTAATTTGTTTGCCCATATCTTATTTAATGGTTTTGTAACAAAGGGGTGAATATTTATGCACACTAAAACTCTCTCAGTTTTTGCATCTTAATTATTGTTTGTAAAGATAGTAGCCACCCGCACTCACTTGTAATGTGCAAAAATGATAGCACTTTTATTACTATGTCACATACGTCAACAAGCCAATGTTTCGGGGCCGCGTAGGGTCCCTTCATCAGGGCGACATGTGATCAAACCTGATGAAGGGACCCTGCGCGTCCCCGAAAGAGCTTGTTTATATGATAAGGAACCACAAATAAATGAAAATTTTGCTATCGTAAAAGGATTTGTGTGTGCTGGCGACATTTCTACATTTTGCTGATATTTGCGGCCCCAACTGCAGTCACTGCAAGCACCCCCCCCCTATTACGAAGCACTTTCAGTGAATACAACAAGGAAAAGCATTTATTTTTGCATGCAGTATGTCACAGCCTTAAAAGGAGAACTATGGGGTCAGTGTTTTTCCCCATAGTTCTCCTTAGGGTAACGGGAGGACACAAACTAGCGTCCTCCCGTTACCCTAAGCTCAGTATACCGCGAGCTACAGCTAGAGCGGATCCCGACTTAGATGACGGCATCCGCCCAGCTGCGTGAGTGACAGCTGGCTCTGCCTATCTAGAGGCAGAGCCAGCTGTACCCGCCCCCTCCCCCGTCCGTTCCGCCAGTCAACGCTGGCAGATCGGAGCGGGGGAATCCAGCCCCTCCCCGTCATGGCAGAGAGCCGTGACAGGATCTAGAGGTGAGCGAACCTGGTATGTGTTCGCTCACCTTCCGATCTACTGAGCCGACCTGTGACAGTCTCACTGTCACAGGTCGGCTAGAACTATGAGGTGAGTGAAAAGCACTCACCTCATAGTTCTCCTTTATGCATACAAGCTTAACAAATTAGATCTGAATTATCCATTAGTGTTTTGCACTTTGTTCAGAAAACAATTCAGCATAACAGCCAGTCAAGGAAAATGGTATTTCAAAAGGAGAAGCAAGCTATGGCAGCCCCCATACCTCTTTAATTTACTACTTTGTTCATTTTAAAAGGAAAATACGAGCAGTCAAACAACATTTTCTGTCATGTAATGTGACCTTGATAAACCAAATTTTCAGTTAAGGTATTTGAGTGCTTTAATTTTTCATACATATAAGTAGCATATTTGAATTGAAGAGGCCTCAGTCAGGGCATAAACCCAGAGCTAGTACAAGACAACTTTCACTATCCGTATTCTGAAGCTAAACAGCTCCCTCTAGTGTGAAAATTATGAATCACAAACAGTAGCACAGTTCATAGCTAAACACGTATTCATACGATGCGATTATTCCATAGCATACATCACAAGGCCTGGATGTGACATCAGTCCCTTTTTTCTTAGAAATCACCATGTGTGACCTCAGTATGGCTTTTGGCGATTGCCACTCCTAATGGGTCCCATTGAAATCATAGCTTTTTCTTTTTTAAACACATTAAAAAAAAAAAAATCCCCTTTAAACACTATGAGGGTAAAAATGGATTTGGACTACAATGATACCCAAAGGGTTCTATTTAAATCCCACCACAAAAGAAAACAGATTGATATACTTAAAAATAAATGTAACATGACAATCCAAAAGCAGAATATCATACCATGCAAAAACACCATGCAAACTGAGGACGGTCACCTTTACAATCTAACCTACTCTGTACTCAGATTTGGAACATCTGCTACATGGACAGAAGTTACTCATGTACAGTTTATTTAACCATCAAGTTTCATCTAAATGAGAAGGAAAAGCCAAAATGTAAGAAAAATATAACAATCTTGATCCCCTTTAAAAACCCTACGGCTTACACCCATCCATCATCAAATTGCGTACTTACACAAGAGGACACATGAAGGTAGGATACATAGTCTCCTGTGATCTTGGTAACCATTCAACGACATCTTGACCTTTTATTTCCTAAGAGCTTGTCAGAAGGACTTGTCAGGAGGGGCTTCATGCTTTTATCTTTAACTTTGAAAAATAACTTCCCCACTTTTGTGAATTAAGCGAAGCTTTGACTCCTATTTGGCTTGTCCTTCCAGCTTTTCTTTTCCCAACTTCCCTTTTAATCTTCAAGCCTGATCATTAAGGTGTCTTTGCTTTGTCTACTTGTCTCTACTCTAAAGTTCTTTTCATGCTTTCTCTGTGGTTTCGCCTTTAATGTACAGCTTTACAATTCTGAGGTAACAACAGAATTAGGAAAAAAGATTTAAAGTAAAAGGAAATTATCTATCCAAAAATACAAGTAGAGACACAAAAGCTGACTGGATTTTTTTGCAATATTTACTATTAAACTAGCTATTTGATCTTTGTTAGTTCTACATTGCACAGAAGTTAGGAGAAAAACAAGCGTGCTGGTGAATTACTTTGCAATGTATAGTGAGCAACATAAAGTGATTATCAAAGCAAAGCAATTCGTGTTGTGTGCAGTTACCTCACACAATCTCTTTGTTAACGGCATTTTCCCTCATAACCCAGTTGAGGGAAGAAAGGATATTGAACATACGCAAATCCCCTAGGACGTCGATTGTAGTAATCAAGGGGGACATATACATCAACAATAGGCCCATATCGACCAAATTCTCTACGAAGATCTTCAGACCTGAAACACATTTTAGTTTAACTTAAATACATTGAAACAAACAACACTTTTCAGCAATCAGAAAAAACAACAACACAGATTTAAGAGGTAATTTCATAGTTCCTGAATCTCAAACTCCATTACTTAATTCAAATGTTTTGGGTGGGAAAAAGTACATGCAGCTTTGCTCTAATCTACCAGTTTCCTTATCACTGTTCTATTTCATACCATTTTACAGGTGTACACAATGAGCTTATAGAAATCAGTTACATTAGGAGAATTGTAGCCATAATGTGCCTATATGCACAGCATGTTAGCACAATATGTCAGTCTAACTGCCAAAGAGATCCCCTCCAGTGCTGCAATGTCAGGCTTTGCCTCCCATCTGTATCCTGGTTGTCTTCTGGGTTCTGAGTAATAGGCCATTTGACTGTCCAGGCCATGGCGACATAACTTGTGCACAGGAGTTACTTAATCACATCTACAATCCTGCCGAGCCACAAAGCTCAGTGTACAGAAACAAAAGTTGGCTCCCGGGCAGGTAGAATCTTCTATAAAGCCCCTTTAACATTATTCCATCAGGAGGGCATTCCGTGCACGATCAGAGTGGTAGGGATTGGATGTCATCGCTGTGACATCTGTGTCCATCCAGTTTTTTCATCCATCTTAAAATGAAGGAAAAAACTGAAATGACTGGACCCCCATATTGGTCTATGAGGAATTGGATGTAAATGGACTGCCCATCTAAAAAGGGGCCTTAGAGACTGGGAGTCTCCCTCATAAAAAAGCCAGTCTATCAGTATTTCCACTTTAATATTCTAAAGATAATGGTCTCTTTTAAAAGGGAAACTACACCTTCTCATCCTTTACAGCCAAGGACATTGCCATCTTAGCCTTCATTTAAATCTGCAGTTGCCATGGTGCTGCACATGTGATCAACTTTAACACTAGAGCTGCACTGAGTTCCTTAGCCAAGTAGCTGTCCTGCTGCGTTTCAGGCAGCTGCTTCACTGAACAGTGCTCAGCAAAACGGCGGAGGATACAGTATTGAACTCTGCCATTAGTGCAATTTCTACTGCTTTACAGGGAGCCATGGCATATTTGCTCCAACCACGCTGAACAGCATGGATGAAGGAAACCTACCCTGCCGGTGTTCTTTCATATTTTCCGACCTACAAAATCACTAATGCGCATTCACTCTGACAACACATTGGATTTTTTTTTCATTCGACATCAGTGCACACAAAAGGTCGCAATCTTTACGGCCCACACCGGGGACACTAAATGATCCGGTGGGTCACACATGGGGGTGTGACGAACTCAGGGAAAGCATCAACCAATGCAAAGATGGTGACCTTTATGACGCAACTAGAAATAATATAGCGCCAACAGTTTGCGCAGCGCTTTACAATATAAGAAAGACATTACAATAATATATACAGGGCTTGAAACATTTTATAGTGTCTCACCAGTCAGTCAAACATTTCACCAGTCAGCATGACCGGACTATCGGCCTTGCAATTCATGTTAAATTTTTTTGTGGACAGATAGAGCTTTCTTTTGGAGGTATATAATCACCTCGAGGGTTATTTTTTTTACTATATAAATGAAAAAAGTACCGTAAATGTAAAGGAAAAAAAAAAAGTTTCCCTACACTATGTTATAAAACATTTATTATTATCCATATTTTTGGTAAAACATAAAAAGTCGGGGTCACGTCGGGTAAATAGACACCAAACATGTCAAGCCTTAAAATTACGTGCGCCCGCAAAAAACGTCCATAGGCGACGCTTAAAACGCTTTTACTGCTCATCAGTTTAGTGTCATCGGTGATTGATGGCCCTAAAATTATTGCTCTCACTCCGACGTTTGCGGCGATATGCAACATGTGCGGCACAATCTGCGTTTTTGCACGTAGGCGCACATCTGCGTGTGTATGTGGTGGGCGGGGACTTGTTTTCTTTTTTGAAAAAATTTTTTTGCTTTGTTTTTTTTGTGATTCTTTAATTTTTATATTACTTTTTTTTTTGACAACTTTATTGCTATTATAAGATATATAAGAAGCCCCCTATATAATAGCTAATTTACATGACAGGTCCTCTTTATGGAGACATCAGGGGTCTCCAAGACCCCTGTCACCTAGGGACCCCCAGAGAAGCTGATGAAGCAGAGATCGGCTTCATCAGCTTCTGTAGCTGGAGAGTGACACTGAATGCAGGAAGTGATGTAACCTACATCACTTCCTGCATTCGGGGACTGAGAGGAGATCAAAGGGAGTTCGTATAAAATATATATTTAAAAATTTCCACTCGCCCCCTCGCAATTTGCGAGGGGGCGAGTGGAAATGAAGCCATTGAGTCAGACACTCAGTCATGGACCTAGTGCCTGATGACTTGCTCCTAAGCTTCTGCCCACAGCCGTGCATCTTCCCATATTATATGCATGACGGAAGCCATCTTTACTAAGGTCCGTTCTTGTATCCTAGCTCTTGTATACCCCCTACGTGACACACTCACCCACTGCTGTCACGGTGGCGCTGTAAAAGTGAAACTACAGCTCCCATAATCCTCGGTGCACAGGCAGGAAGTTATATAACTTCCTGCCACCGTTACAGCGCCACCGTGACAGCAGTGGGTGAGTGTGTCACGTAGGGGGTATTGGGTTAGGTTTTATTGCTACGGTTCAGTGTCTGTGTGTGGGTGGCCGGGCACTGCCTCTCTAGGGGACCCTGGTCTGTCATGTGCTGGAGCAGTGCTGAGAACAGGAAGCAGTGATGGTGAGAGATGCTGCTCGTCCACATTATCCACACTCTGTACCGATCTGGGCACTCGAGGGCCTCTGCTAGGGGAGGCAGAAAGGGGCTAGCTATATTAGGATGAAGGTGGAATGATAGAACACTAAATTCATGGACGTCACAATACAGGCGAAGCCCTGGGGTGAACTGGCAGACCACAGGAGGGGCTCCAACAGCTTACTGTGCCACAGGTCCCCTTCATGCAGCCTGAGCTGCAATAACTATGCACGGGACCGGAGTTAGTCCCAAATGTCAGGCCCCTGCCAGCAGGTAATTGAAGGGGACAGATGGGTTGGGGTGCCATGTGTGTGTTGTGGGTGAATGTGCATGCGTAATGTCCTGTGCGTTGAGCTGTGGCTGCATGTGTAATGTCCTGTGTTCTTTGTGCTGTGGCTGTATGCGCAATGTCCTGTGTTCTTTGTGCTGTGGCTGTATGCGCAATGTCCTGTGTTTGTGCTGTGGCTGTATGCGCAATGTCCTGTGCGTTGTGCTGTGCCTGTATGCGCAATGTCCTGTGCGTTGTGCTGTGCCTGTATGCGCAATGTCCTGTGCGTTGTGCTGTGCCTGTATGCGTAATGTCCTGTGCCTGTATGCGTAATGTCCTGTGCCCCGTGCATTGTGCTGGTGTGTGTGGTGCCCTGTTTGTGTTATGCAGAGCAACTAGTGGCGAGTAACTTTTCAGGCCTGGCTAGTGGCTCATGACCTGAAATTTTGAGCCATAGCACATGCGCAATTGCAGTGTGGAGACATGGCCGTGCACGTTATGTATGCAAAACCGACAGAACACCGTCTATTGTATTCAGTGGACGCAGCTCCAGTGACTGAATAGCCACACAGCAACTATATCTGCAGATAAATTCATCTCCATCCACAAAACTGGATTGAAAAATGAACTTTTCTTGAATGCAAGTGTGATGACAGGGCCACATAGGCTCCAAAAACCTGAGCCATGTATGGCCAGCTTCATTCATCTGAGTATTTGAAGATCGTTGGTCGATTTGCCCTTTCCTGTGAGCTACCTGCCAGCCTCCCCATGTAGTCAGCATAATTGGCACATTCTATGTGTAAATAACGAGAATTTAGAAACATGACAAGCAACCCATTGAATGTTCTCCACACACACCATGCGGTATTAAGCGGCAATCCGCACAAAGCGGTAAATACCGCATATTCCATGCGCGTGGTATCTCCCGAGCATTGGAATTATACAAAGGCCGCTGTAGCCCGCAATAGCTGCACCGCCTATAGCGTACGAAGTGTCTCGGGGTGTAAGGCTAACGGAATTGAAAACCAACAGTTCAGACTCCCGTACACTGCCACAAAAAGGGAGGGACAATGCTCGTTCTGAGGCGGCCCTGCCTCACCCACCACTCACCTGATATCGTCCGCTATGTTCCGGACAAAGAGCGACGTGTTGGGAGGGCGCAGGTAACGGGACATGGCGAATCAGACAGTGCACACGGCAAACCACGCCAAAATAGTCGACTTCACACACCAGCACAATGGCCGCGACCCCTTCGCTTCTCTCCGGCTCAACGCGTGTCTCGCGAGTTTTCCTGGTGAGTGGGCGGAGCAGGGCGATCAGCGTGTGTCGGGCGGGAATATTCCCGCGCTGAATGAGGGACTTTGTATGATAATGAGCTGAGCTCCGCTATGACTGTGTACAGGGAAGAGGATGATATGAGGAGTTGTACAGTTACAAACGCTTTCTCTTTCTGAGAATGCCCTTCGGCTTCTATGAAATCTCCTGTTGTTACCTTCAGCTTATGTTTCTCAGGTGCCCATTCTTTGGGCCAAGGGTAGCCCGAATCGCGGTTCACTCAGTTTATGTCCATACCACGGTCCACAATTTAGGCTGCATTCACACTAGCAGCTGCACTACAACACACAGCTGTTGGTGTGTTTCCCAGACACAGTGCTGATCCCCACTGGTGCATCACATTGTTTATTTTTTTGTTAGAAGTCATTTCTCCCCTGCTTTGCATACAAGTGGGTGTAGGGTTGCCACCTTTTCTTCAAGCCAAACCCGAACAATGGGTGCCTTACAAGCATCTAAAATCAGATGGCAGAGGTGAGGGGTTGGTTTTAATTTAATTTGAATGTTTACTCTTTTAGCCACATTTTACATTTTGTTTTCAGTTTACTTTTGCTACCTGAAAGAGGCTAGTAAACCCCAATGTAACAGCATTTGGAGGTAAAAGTTCTCTTTACTGAGAGAACAAGGGGTCTATTAGCCCCCTGATGTCTCTCTTGCCCTCCAATACAGCCGATTAACCCCTGCATGACAGGCCTTTTTTTAATTTTTTGCACCCATGTTATATTCCACATTTTAGGCCTGAAAATAACTTAAAACCCCCAAAAATTATATATTTTCTGACTGGCAAGACCCTATAGAATAAAATGGTGGTAGTTGCAAATTTTTATGTTGCGCAACATTAGCGCAACTCCTTATTAAACCCCAACATTTAGTGAAAAATTTAATTAAATGCTCCAAAATGCCCTTTTTTTAAATGAAATATAAATGATGAGGTTACAACGAGTAAAACGATACCCAACATGCCCAGGTTACAAATTGCGTGCGTCCGTGAAACCGCGAAAAACTTCGGTACCCCAAAAAGTCCATAGAAGACGCTTTAAAAGCCCCCATAGGTCATCAATTTAGAGATACTCCAAAATACTGACCCTAGAATTATTGCTCTCACTCCGGCATGCGCGGCGATACCCAACATGTGTATCGCGTTCGTCGTTTTCATACGTGGGCGCACCCGACGCGTGTTTACTAGGCGACGCGCGTGCTCACGGGGGCGGGGGACTTTTAACATTTTTTTGTGCTCACGGCGGCGGCCCCTTCTACAGGACACAGAAGCGATCTGGCGACAGGTAAGTCACCAGACGCTTTAAAAGCCCCCATAGGTCATCAATTTAGAGATACTCCAAAATACTGACCCTAGAATTATTGCTCTCACTCCGGCATGCGCGGCGATACCCAACATGTGTATCGCGTTCGTCGTTTTCATACGTGGGCGCACCCGACGCGTGTTTACTAGGCGACGCGCGTGCTCACGGGGGCGGGGGACTTTTAACATTTTTTTGTGCTCACGGCGGCGGCCCCTTCTACAGGACACAGAAGCGATCTGGCGACAGGTAAGTCACCAGAATCGCTTCTGTTGTAAAGCCGACAGTCGGCTTTACAAGTTTAAACAGACTCCCGGCGGCAAAACAGTCCGATGCTGGCGACGTACACTGTACGTCGTCAGTCACGAAGGGGTTAAGCACAGGAATGTACATGGCAGGGAGGGGCGGCGCAACAGCAGGCTAGTACAAGTGATTTGGGTGGCTGTACAGCTGCACAGATCACTTGTAATTGTAGCAGGTAGCCCTGCCTGACTTCATTGGTTGTTAGGATGCCAGCGGTCCAAGTAACCAATGATTGAAGCAGAGGGGGCCTGCGCTGGCTTATGGCTGGCATTGGAGACAGGCTTCAGAGACTGGTGTATCCGCTGTCAGCCAGCCATAAGCCAGTGCAGGTCAGCAATTGCGATCCAGACTTGAGATGTTCAGATACCAAGTACAGTACTTGGTACGAGTACAAGTACAGATACTTTTCCAGCTACAAGACTAGACTAGAGAAAAACTCAAAAGTTAGGAGGCAGCTGTCATTTTTAAGGAGCATACTGAGCTGCTGGGATTTGTACATCCCTGTTTTAATGTATGATTTTATTTTTTTAGAAATATATATAAGTGATGCACCGATACCATTTACTGATACTTGTCCAAGTATTCACAGATACAAGTACTGGCACATTTTTGTTTATTGTCATGTGACAGTTTGGAGAATGGACTCCATACTGTCCCCATTGAGCATGCACCCACATACTTTTTTACTATAATTTAAAGGGCTTGAAAAAGAACTTGTCCTCTCGTCACGCCAGTGCCAGACAAGTGACAGCGCGCGCCGGTTTAAATAGTAATCAGCGCATGCTGTGCAAGGGTTAATACATTTTGTAGTGTGGAGTACTATGGAGGCAGGAGGGTACACAGGAGTTTTTCAGTATATCACTCCCCTTCTTATCCATCACTTATGTACTGTATCATACAGTGATGGAGAAGAAGGGGAGTGATATACTGGCAGTGTCACACACAGCACGGTACCTGCTGGATCACTGTCGGGCTGTGTCGGATCCCGTCCCGATTACCGCCATTGAGCCACCTCACACCACATGTGTCTGGACCTTGGGACCCCCTTCAGTCTCCTCATGGCCACACCTCCCTTGCCACGCTGCGCCAGGCTGACTGCTGGGTAATGCAGTCCTTTGGCCGGCAGCGGCTCTCCTGCTCCTCAGTTCGCCGCGGGCGGTGTGATAGAGCTGCGGCCGCTGTCGCGGCTGTGTGTGGCCGTGCCGACCTCCCCCAACAGCCATCCCAGAAGCTCCCGGCTGCTGCTAATACACGCCTATAATATGCCTAGGTGTGAACCCAGCCTAAAATTTTGTTTGTTTTTTTTTAATTCTTTTTCATATGTGACTTTAAATTTTTTTTTTTTTTGTGCAACTTTCATTTTTTTTCACTTAACTTTATTATTATTACATAGGGGGCTAAGAAACCCCCCTATGTGGTAGCAAAGATATGTGACAGGTCCTCTTTATGGAGACATTAGGGGTCTCCAAGACACCTAATGTCACCTAGGGACCCCGTGAAGAAGCTGATGAAGCAGAGATCTGCTTCATCAGCTTCTCTCCAGCGTCTGAAGCTCCCGGAGGGATATCATGTACCGATCTCGCTCTGATCCCCTGTCACAGAGCCACCATGCTGGTCCCGAGCTTGCACCAGGCACAGCGGAGCCCGATACCAGGAGGAAGGGGGGGGGGGCGCGGGAGGTGGGCGCTCTGTTTGGCACCCCATACAAGCGATCTGCAGGCTCTATAGCTGGTGGATCGCTTGTATGTAAACAGGCATCGCTGCCTGTTTTAAATTATGGTTGTTTCCTGCTCGCGCGCACGAGTGGGCGGGGCTAACAGGACGTCTTTTGACGGCCTGTTACATCCAGGAAGCTCCTGGATGGCCATTTTTGAACAACGACCAACCGGGAGGCGGTTAAAAACCTCCTTGGATTCCCTAGGGAACCTAGTGCATGTAGCACCTCACATGGCCCCATTCAGATCCATGGTCCTATTGTGTCTATTGTGTATTAAAAGCTCATTTTTATTTTGTTTCTGCTGTATGTAGCTCCACCCCAGACTGAATCCCAATATATGGGTGCTTCTATGTGGAAGCTACAACACAGCGCTAGGCACCATCCCATATAGCGAATATTTATACTTTGTGTCCATTGGGATGTCTGTCGAATCAAAGCCCTGCCAGCGCTGCTAATTCTTTACTATTGTCAGTGTGGGGGAATGTTTACTACCACTAAAGGATCAGTCAGCCTGGGCTGTGTGCTCTATCTGCTCCTTGTAAACATCCGCTACACCAACAGATCAATTACACAGCCTCGCCAGCGCTGACTGATCTTTCCCATAACGTCTTCCAGGACAGCATCACGAGATG